TTTTACATTTTTGTCACCATCCTGGTGGAGAACCTTTTTAATAACTGTCGGTTATCGCTGTGCCTGGTCTCTACCGAGAGTACTAACACACGCACTCATTCATTTCCACATGAAACGATTTAGGTACTTTCTCATACTCAACCTAATCTTTACACCGTTTGTTGCCTGTAGTTTCCAAATCATGGTCTTACTGAAGAATTTTTTTTTTGTCTAATTACATGAGCACATAATTTGCACCTGAATAGATGTTAGAGTGGTGGAGAGGGACAGTTCGTCTAACGAGTATATTGCATAATGTTAGTAGTCATCAGTAGGCTTTGGATCAATATCGTTACTACATTCACCCTGCGGACACATATTCAGGATGTGTCCTAGAGAACACCCGCAGGCTCAGTATATATAACCTAGTTTGGAGATCAACTAAAAAGCATAGCAGGAAATAATTCTCACATGGTTTCCAGCGGCTGCAGCGGCCGGAACCTGTGCTCAGTGTCCGAGTGGTGGATGTAAGGGTCCCAAACCTCACTGTCTGTGGTGCTGGTCGAAGTTCTGGGGGAGGCAGGACTTGAGGTAGGGCAGGACGAGCCCCTCAAAGCACTTCATGACCACAGAGGTCAGTGCAACTGGTCTGTAGTCATTAACACTGCTTATGGAGCCCTTCTTAGGTACAGGAACAATGGTGGCTGTTTTCAGGCACGGTGGAACAGGCCTGTTTCAGGGAAATGTTTCATGATACTTGTTAGGACCCCTGACGGCTGGTCAACGCAGGCCTCCAGTACTTTGCCCATTACTCTGTCTGGGCCTGCTGCTTTGTGTGGGTTCACAGCTCTCAGAACCTTTTTCATCTGATGTTCCTGCAGTTCAAGCAGGTTGAGGAGTTGTGGGGCCACTCTCCGGGTTTGGAGTAGTGGAGTGGGGCCTCACTGACTCAAAGCAGGTGAAAAAGTGGTTTAGCTCTTCCACCAGCGAAGCATCGGCATTTCCCGCTCCGGACGAGTTGCCCTTGTAGTTTGTTAGATGCTGTAAACCTTGCCACACTTGTCTGGGGTTATTGTCAGCCAGATGGTTCTCCACCTTCCTCTTATATTCCCTTTTTGCAGCCTTTAGTCCTCTCCTCAAGTTTTTTTTTAAACAACTTTATTTAAGCCATTTTCAGTTATAGAGACAAAGGTTAACATACATACATATACAAACATATTTATTCTTGTGAACATAATCCCGTACTAGTACCTTCCCCTCCTCCCTCCCCACATACCCTCCCTTGGAACCAAGAGTACAAGAAAAAAAAAAAAAGATCCAATGCTGCATAAGTGTAACATCAATGGGCTAGTCAGACAGGTTGACAAGAGAAAGTACCAAGATAACATGATTGGTTAGAGATTTAACTTCTTTACATACTCAATAAAGGGAGACCACACTGTGGTATATGTGTCACAAGAGCCGTTCAGAGTATGTCTTATCTTTTTTAACTGAAGTAGAGATAGAACCTCCTGAATCCATCTCCTTTGTTAGATTTCCAATTCAATAAAATCACCCTGCGAGCTATAAGGCTACAGAATGCTATTGCTCTCTTTTGTGTATTAGTGGTACATGTTTCCGAGGGTGTGACTTCAAATAAAGCAGTGAGTGGATTGGGTTTGAGGGGTGTGTTGCATAGAACTGACAGTCAAAAATGGAGGACCAGAAATCAACTAAGGAGGGGCAGGACCAGAACATATGGCCCAGTGACACTTGGTTGCCACACCTGGGACAGGTAGGGAGAACAGGCGAGTATATTTTAGCTAGCCTATCATTGGGGTAATGTAACCGATGGAATATTTTGAATTGTATCAGCCCATGCCTTATACATATAGAGGAGGTGTGTATGTTGGAGATACATTTAGCCCAGACATCGTCCAGTATCATAGTTTCCAGATCCCGTTCCCATGCTTCACGTGTTTTAGTGTGCGATGGGGGATCCATGTTGTGTATTAAATTTTATGCCTTGGAGATCAGACCCCTGTTCCATGGATTCAGATTTAATAAATCATACACAGAATCTTTGTTTGGCAACTTGGGGTAAGTAGGGAAATGTTTGGAGGCGAAACTGTGTGCTTGGAGATATCTGAAGAAGTGAGGTCTTGGGATATTATGGTCTTTTACTAGGGCTTCGAAGGACAGGAAGGAACTCTCATCAAACAAATCGTCAAAGAAAACCAGTCCGTGCCGATGCCAACCAGCGAAATTCTGATCTGTCTACGAGGGTGCGAAGAGATGGTTGAAAGAAAGAGGGGAAAGGCTATTCATCTGATCAAGGTTATAATGCCTATGAAATTGTACCTTCTAATGGAATTAGACACCACAGGATTAGAAAAAGTCTTACTATTTGTCTGCGTTGCCAATGGAGCTGTTAGCAGCGAGATAGGGGATATCGATGCATGTGATGAAAGCTCCATCATCGCCCAGGCAGGCCCATTTTTGTCAGAGAAAGACGTCACCCAATATGCCAATTTGGAAATATTTGATGCCCAATAATAATGGAGGAAGTTGGGGAGACCCAATCCTCCTTCAGATTTAGGTCTTTCCTGATAGATCTTCTTTATACGCGGCATAGCGTGGTTCCATATAAAAGATGAGACATACTTATCCAGTTTAATAAAGAAATGTTTTGGGAGCCAGATAGGGATTGCTACAAACATATACAGTAATCTAGGCAATACTGTCATCTTGAGGGCATTAATGCGGCCCGCCAGCAAGACGGGGAGCCACGACCACCTCTCTAAATCTTTTTTGGTTTGTTCTAATAAATTATCAAAGTTGGTGTTTTGGAGTGACTTAAATGAACTGGTTGCATGTACACCTAGGTACTTAAAGGACTGATGTTCAATTTTAAAGGAAAACATGTCATAGTCTAGTGTTTTGCTTATATCATTTATGGGAAAAAGTAGACTTTTTGGGTTGGCAACAAAAAGGAGCAAGTCATCTGCATAAAGCGCAGTGTTATGGGTTGTATTTCCTCTAGTAATGTCCTTGATCCTCCCACTCTCCCTGATTGCAATTGCCAGAGGTTCTATGGCTAAGTCAAACAAAAATGGTGACAGACAGCAACTCTGACGTGTGCCTTTACACAATGGGAAATATGCTGATGTTTTTACAGCCAACATAGGACTACTTTATAAAATTTTGATCCAGTTTCTGAATGTTTCTCCGAATCCGAACTTGCATGACTGCATGTTATTTACATGCAGTCACTCTATCCTATGAAAAGCCTTTTCGGCATCGAGTGACAAAATTACCTCAGGCTGCTGTGTGGAATGGGTGGAATACATTACTATGTATGTATTATTACATACAAGAGCTGCCTTAGGTTGAAAAAGGGCTGGGCCTGGAATAAAGCCGGTCTGATCCTGATGTATAAGTGTTGGTATCACATCATTCAATCGGTTAGCCAAGGCTTTGGTCAGAATTTTGTAATCACAACAGAGGAGACTGATGGGTCTGTAAGATGAGCAGTCAAGTGGATTCTTATCCTTTTTTAATATTAATGAT